GCATCCAACGGTGTCACGGCAGAACCGGGAAACCGAAAAGCCTGCAGCTTGGAGAGGAGCTCAGAGGAGGCTGCTGTGGGCGGGGCAGCGGCGGAGACCCGCCCAGGGGGCGTGGCTGGTAAAGGAGGTCCGCTCAGGGGCGGGGCCTGTGGTGGAGACCCTCCTGGGGGCGGGGCCTGTGGTGGAGACCCTCCTGGGGGCGGGGCCTGTGGTGGAGACCCTCCTAGGGGCGGGGTTATGGTGGAGACCCTCTCATGGGGCGGGGCCTAGAGTAAAGACCCTCCTATGGATGGGGCTATGTTGGGGGACCCTCCTATGGGGCGGGGCCTATGGCAGAGACCCTCTCAGGGACAGCAGATGGTGATCCTCCTGGGGGCGGGGTCTAAGGTGGGGACCCTCCAAGGGGCGTGGTCTATAGTAAAGACCCTCCCAGGGGCGGGGACCCTCCCAGGGGCAGGAACAACAGTGGGATCCTCCCAGGGGGCGGGTCCTACAGTGGAGACCCTCACGGGGGGTGGGGCCTATGGTTGGGGACCCTCCCATGGGGCGGGGTCTAAAGTAAAGACCCTCCTATGGGGCGGGACCTACAGCAGAGACCCTATCAGGGGGCGGGGCCTACAGTAATGACCCTCCTAGGGACGGGGCTATGTTGGGGGACCCTCTTATGGGACGGGGCCTACAGTGGAGACCCTCTCAGGGGGCAGGGTCTATAGTAAAGACCCTCCCAGGGGGCGGGGCCTACAGTAATGACCCTTCTTTAAAATTAAAAAAAAAAGAAAAAAAGGGGGGTTATCCAAGGAGTGGGGGAGTCCCTCCCCGGCCCCACAGGGGAGCCGAGCAGACAAAGCAACAGACTCTGAGCTGAAGACGCCTGGGAGAGCCACTGAACGGAGCCCCTACGTGTGTCCATTGTGCAGGCCCGCAAGTGCAGGAGCCGTGAGGGACCCCGGGGCAGGGTCTTGGGGGTCCCCAGGAAGCCCCCCTCCACGATGTGCACCAATGGATGCAGCTGCGGGGGCGGCCGAGCAGCACACGCACCCGCTTCCGCTCGCCCACGCAGTACCGGCCCCTGTTCTTGGGCCTGTGGGGGAGCCGAGAGGGGGCTCAGCACAGGCACAGGGAGTGCCCACTGCACCCCCCAAATGCACCCCCAAATGCACCCCCTAAATGCACCCCCCGAGGTACCGGCCGCCCACCTCTGCTGTGTGACCCCAGGCAAGTGTCCTGCCCTCTCTGGGCCGGCTTCTTCATCTATAAGATGGGGTTGGGGCCCTGGTGGGTTTGGCTCAGTGGTTAAGCATAGGCCTGCGGACCAAAGGGTCCCGGGTTCGATTCCCAGTCGGGGCACAGGCCGGGGCTGCAGGCTTGATCCCCTGTGGGGGGCGCGCAGGAGGCAGCCGATCCATGATTCTCATCATTGACGTTTCTCTCTCTCTCTCTCTCCCTCTCCCTTCCTCTCTGAAATCAATAAAAATGTATATATATATATTAAAAAGTTTAAAATGGGTTGTGGCTGTTGAGACGCTGGGACAAGCCGCTAACCCCGCTCAGACAGGGGGCCGGGGTGAGGCAGGGGGACGGGCCACAGTCCTGGCCACACACGGGGCCTTGGGTGGGGCTGGCTCTGAACTCCACACACACCCCGTACCCTCGGAAGCCTAGTGAGGAGGGCCCCCCCCGTACCCCGCACATCCCAGCATCTTCACTTCGCTCAGATGGGGAAACTGAGGCCCAGAGAGACAGTCACGTGCCCCGGGTCACAGCGCGTCCCTCCTCCCAGCCGATCACCTTAGACCCACTCTGATGCCACCGACCCACTCTGATGCTCCCACTTATGCGCCCCTGACCCCCCCCGCCCCCCGCCATCCACGGGCGGGCACTGCTGGGACCCCCACCATGCAGCTTCTCTGGAAATGGAGGCCCAGAGGCGGGGTGAGCAGGCTCTCACACAGGGGTGTGTGTAGGGGGACTTGAGTCCTGACCCCTCTAAGGCCAGGGTCTAAGGGCTTGACCACTGTCCGCTCCTGCCTCCCTCCGGCCGGCTGATGCGTCCTTCCAGTCCCCGGGCCTCAGTGTGCCCCTCCGTGCAATGGGTCAGCAGTGGGGAGGAAATTTCCACCAGTGACCCGAGGAAATTGGCTGGAAATTCTGGGTTTGGCCCCTGTTTGTGGGGACACTTCTGACAGCCGGAGGCTGGGACAGAGCCGGGGTCCCTCCATTGACTGACCGATGGCTCGGTGCCCCCCCCCCCAACGC